CCCTCAAGTCCTGCCCCTGGTGCATTTCTTCAGCTCTGAAAATGCCCCTAACCCATGCAGCTGTGTGCCAGATCTAAGAAAGTCTGAAGAAAACACGAATAAATTACGAAAGCCTTACATTTAATTATCACAATCAAACAGGTTCTTGCTCTTTTCCTAGTATTTTTTTTCAGCTGTTTAATCCTTAGAAGCTGCCTTGTGCGCTCCATTTGAGAACTGATCTGGAAAGACCCCCCTTGACAGCGCAATGGATACTGCCTGTGCCAGATGCACGTGCACGTCCTTGCTCAGTAGGGTGCCCGTCCTGTCCCTCATCGGGCAGGACCCTGTTCCTGCCGTGGTGAGGTAACAGCTCTCTATTCCCCTGGAAACCAGGAGACTTACGTGTTGCTTAAAGCCATATTAGTGCCTTATTCCATCTGACCTGTTCCCTGCATGAAAAGCTGGGCAGGCGAGGTCTTCATTTAAATGCATGCAGTCTTCAGGTATCGGAAAGAAATACTGATATTGTCCGAAATTTCGTATTGATCATGAACAGTCTGGCAGCGCAGCATCACTCTCAGAAAGTGACTCCATTGGGACTGACATTCTGTAGACAGCACGGGGAATGGGTTTATAATTCAGCTGACAAGAAGAATTGCATTTTGCTGGAGCAACTCTAGGGTTGTCTTCCCCTCTTTGCAGGTGGCCTAACACAGATTAGAAATGGAATTCACACCTGCTGTCTCCTGAACTGGAAAGAAGGGGCATATATATTCCAATAAAGCTTTGAAATGTGGATTTTGTGCATTTTGGTTTTCCTGCCAAAAGAGCTGTAAGATTTTAGCAGGATGTAGGATGAATCTGAGTAGACAGTTAATCACGTATTTTAAAAATCTCTTCCTTAGGGGAAAAAAACAATCTTTGATTTCTTTTTTTAAATTAACATTTGCTATGCTGCAGACTGTGCTGAGGAGAAGAAAAATCCTTATTTTGGTTTCTAAAAGATGTGAAGCAACTGTACCTTTAACTGAGTGAAATGGGCTTCTTCAGATTGACAGCTTCACGCATCCAGAGCTATTCAGAGAATGAATAAGGCGCTGTAAGATGTGTGGGTCTGAGATGGGGTTTGCATTACCTTAGTAACATGCTTTGCTCAGTTCTGCTCTGAAGTCTGTCTCTTCCAATTAGGACGCTCATTGTGGGCACATCAGTCAGCCGCAACTGTGACAATGACAGGGCTGTAACTGGCTGCCAGGTGTCTCGCACCAGGCAATCTTACTGACCACATTTAGTCTCTAATCTCCACATACCAAACTGTCTTATTTGCCCTATAATCTTCAGGGGCAAACTTCAGGAGGTCAATACTGGGAGCTGCTTGTGGAAAGGTGGCTGTTTGTGCAGAGCTTCGTGAGCTGGCAGGGCTCTGCACAAGTAACCAAACCCTGCTGCAAGGCCGAAGCAGGGAGTTTGGGAGAACCTCTTCTAGCTCAGCAGTCACCAGCTCTCCTCCTGCCCCCACCTATTAATTTAGCTTTGGTAGCGTGGCCTGTTCCCCACTGCAGCTCTGCTGCTTGCAGACAAAAGGCCAGCCGGCTGCGCTGAATTGATTTGGATTACCTGTGACTGTACTGACAGCCACCGCGGAGCGGGGAAGGAGATGCCTGCAAACCAGAGACCACAGATCTGGAGTGATACAGATATGCCCTTGCCACCAGGGCAGAGGGAAATCCTGGCTCTGTCGCTCCTTTCCCTGCTGCCCTCAAGCTCTCGTGGTCTGAGTGGTTTGACTCTCCTGTGGCTTACCAAAGGCTATAGCTGCTCTTAAAAATGCCATTTTGCAAAGGCATTTACAGAAGCATCAGAAAAGCCAGATGACCTTTCAGATTGCTTGCGGTGTTTATTTCAAGGCAGGCGAAAGAGCTGTAAATACTGAGCCAGAACTCATCTCTGAAAGCCCTATTAAGTAAAAGTTTTTCAAGATAAAACCCATTGCAAGCCACAAGCATAACAGCAGAGAAATAAAACCGGAACTATGTCAGTAACAGTGATAGCTATGGGCCTGCTCTTGGGGAAGTATTTTGTCTCTGTTGATATATATATTATCACCCTGAATGTTTGCAGGGGTCTCCTGACTAGCTGCCCCCTCCCCTCTCCACAGGGAAACAACTTCTTAAAAAAAAAAAAAAAACCAAAACCCACCAACAAACCCCACAACTTGAAACCACACACTCAAACAGACATGATTCACAACCAAATGCTCTTGAAAGGGGGACTAAGCTTTGTAAACTGCCCACTGTCCCCAGCTAACCTGCTTGTAAGAGCGGTGCGGAGACGGCTGTGTTACAGCAAGGGAGCCGACAGACCCCGCTGGGAACCCACCAGCACTGAGTCCGGCACCCTGCCCTCGGCTGCCAGCTCCACAGCCACAGGACCGCACCCAGCACCAGCCTGTGCTGGCAGGACACTGGCATTTCTCATCAGGCCGCTCAACCTCTCACTCAGATGGCATTTTTCTTGCCCTCACCAACACGCCCTTGACTTGCAAGTCTTTCCTCAGAGCTGTGAGCCACACTGCTTTACAACATTAATGGCCTTTTGCTACACACGCGAGGTGACTGTCCAGGACACTGCATGTTTTCCTCATTCCCCAGGCTGAGCTGGCAGCTTTGTGCCTCCCCCGCTTGACAGCAGTGTGGGCAGCATTCTTTCTGTGCATCTGTGCTGTCACAGGTACCACCGTGCTGCAGCAGCAGGTGCACCACCTGAGTCTGCTTTGGCACACAAGTGTTACAACCCGGTGTAAGGGGAGAGTACAGGCAGCACAGGGAGAAGCACACAGGAGAGAAGAACACCAGCAGCAGGAAACTGCCTGCAGGTCTTCCCTAACAACCTGCATAGCATCAGCCACATACTGACACTGCATGCGAGGGAACAGGCAACCCGCTTGCAGAAAGCTCTATGTGTGTTGAAGTGGTAGAGGCAGAGGTGCTGGGAACCCCCCATCTGCCCACCTCTCAGCCCCCGAGTAAGGGGCGCTGCGGCCCTGCTTACGGGATGATGCTTACGCTTAAATGCAGACACCCAGCGCCAAGGGCAGCCGCTATCACAGCTCAGCCAGTTTAGGAGTGCAGCTCCTCTAAGCATAGTTAAAAACAGCTGGTGTAGGACACAGATTTGAGCAAGTTTACCAGGATTCTGCAGACAGCTGAGCTGGTCCAACCAAGCAGGGACAATGGTGTCCAGAGGGAGGATAGTCCAGACTGAAAAGTTAGGCCAGAATCATGAGCCTTTTCCAGGAAAGCTAGTTGCTGCACATCCTGGCAACTTTCCAACTCTTATCTGCCTTTAGCTATGAGTCTCTTAAAAGCAGGTGTAGTGAGGAATGACAGAGGATGGACAGTCCCATTTTCAGACCCACGGGATCGTGACTTGATTAGCAACAGACACTGCTCTACAAAGCACTGGTAAATGCACATCCAGAATCTGAATGAGGTCAGAGGCTCACACCCAGCATTAGAAATCCATGAACTTCTCCCTGACTTTGATAATATTACCCACAACAGATATTCCTATCATGTCCTGGGTCAAAAGAGTCTAACTAAGCAGGGACTAAATTAATGAGAGAGGCTGTTTGTTTTGAAGAAGCCTACACCATTAACTTGTGCATTACTTCACAGACATCTTGCTCTTCTGTCTTTCAGTACATCGGTAGCTTGGATGTACCCAGGCCCAACAGCCGCGTGGAGATTGTGGCAGCCATGAGAAGGATTCGGGTAAGTTCAAGAGAGCTGAACCCACATGGAATAAAAGGTTACATTCACTGGAGTGACCTGGTTGCAGTGCACTGTTCTGCATTCCCCGCCACCCTTCCTATCTGGAGCTCAAATCTCAGCACAATCAGGATTGTAACAAGCTTCTCCAGAAATTTCCAAGGCATATTAGGATAGACCCATCCCCTGCTCTTTGCAAAGAGATCAGTTAGCAAAACTGAAACATAAAACCCTAGTCTCTGCTAAGCAGGTATGGGGATTTTCCTTGAACCTAAGAGATTTATTTAGCCTGTTTGGATTTTTGTGTGTGTGAAAAATGAGATGTACACAATCTGCTCCACAAAAGCACTCAAATTCATTGACAGTTCCAAATATATTACGTTACTATATATTGAAATATCAGTGGCCTGGCAGATGTTATGGATGTAAATCCCATGAGACTAGACTTCATGGATTTTGCTGCTCATGGAATAATTTGCTGCTTTCCCCCATCCTCCAATACAGTTTTACAGTTCCTGTTTCTCATCATCAAGTCTGCACTCTTCCTCCTCTAGCCCTTTATTCTTCAGAACAGCCTGTGAATGGTCACCAGATTTAGCTACGATTAGCAGGGTGGCTAGCTTACATTGCTTCATGTGTAACCAGTTCAAGTGTATCTATCCCAAAAGGCAGTGCAGCTGTTGTGCCTGGCTGAAGTTTTGCAGGGGTCTTAATTCTGAGGCTGTTCATATGTCTTACATCAACTGAAACAGGTTTGAGAAGCTTCCATTTAAAGCTTTGAAGGGATTATCCCATTTCCCCCCCCCGCCCAGTGTTTAACCATCTAATTTTCATTTAGAATAGCGCTTTTTAAACCTAGCCTGTGACTGGCTGGGGAGCTGATGTATTCATCTCCAGCCAAGCTCAGAAATGACATTCCCCTGCCTTTGCCTGCTCAGACTATTAGCACAGCTCTTGCTCAAAACACAGTGCAGCAGCAATCTAAATTGCCTGGTTATTTATGGAACAGGTGAACATCTATAGGAAGCAAAGGCAATAGGTGAGGACTACTAGGGCAGTTTAGATGCTGGTGAAACTATTGGTAATTTTTGATCTGAATCAATATTTAGCATCAGATTTGACACCACACTACTGCTGATCTTTGACTGGATAACACCCTCACAAGAAAAAGCAGACAGTATTTTAATATCAGTTTCTAGAAAGTGTTGCATTCTGTTTTCATACCTGCTGCTGCCACGATGGTGTCTAGCTCAGGGTCTTGGCAGTGCAATAGCATGCTTGAGTGCTACATGAAGCATATAAGAAACCACCCTGCATTCACGGATGCCATCGGTTAATCTTATCACACAATATTTTTAAAGTAGGCATCCTGTCTTCTATACTGGGTTTTTAATCTTGGAAGCCCTTTCCAAAAAGGGAGGGCTTCCCTTTTCATGTGCGTATTGTACAGCAGGATCTTATTCAGACACTTCCTGGCTGCTGAGCGGAAGATGCTCCTCTATTGAAGATAGTTAATTGGCACTGATCCTTAATTAGAGCATAAAGAATGAACTGGGAGGTCTTTGAAGAGAGTTCTAGTGCATAGAGTACACAACCTAGGAACTGAGGGAAGATGGGGGTTATTTATGTAGCGTTCATTTGCATGCAGAGGCCTTGTCTATACTAGAGTTTTTTCCCATGGACTCTCAGCAGCACCAGTTGCAACTGGGAGGAAACACTGGAAGAAGCTATTGGTGGAAACTAGTATTTTGCTACCATCTTATTGTGAGTGGTAGTGCCTGTTTGCACTGCAAGAGCGAGAAAGGTCCTGCAGCCCTGCCAAGTGCTGGCAGGGGCATGTTGTGCTGAAGCTTTCATCGTTTGTGCACTCCAGTGTTCCACTGGAATTCTCTACTGGAGCGGAAGAAAAAAAGTCACATAGTACAAGCCCTAGCACAACATTTCCTGTGCTGTTCTCTATTCCCTGCGACATGGGAGGAGGCAGCATGAGCCATCATGGAGCAGTCGGTGGCGGAGCCAGCTGAGCACGGGGGCAGCCCAAAGCACAGGCAGGCTGTTACTCATTGCTTCTGTCACTCCAGAAGGGGACTGGGGAGGAGGATGAGGAGTCACAGCCCTGTGTTTTTCCAGGCTCTGACAGAGCTGGTTACTCTAGTTATTCATTAGTAGATTGACAGAAGCTCTGAAACCGCCTTCCTACCACTGTGTCTGATTCTGGTCTCCAGTTTGTGATTAAAAGCGCTTGCCCCAGGGAAAAAACCTTGAGCTACCTAGCACTCAAAGTTGTCCTTAGAGTGTGGGGAAAGAGAGAGGGTGGTAAGAAAAGTAGCAACTCCAGTTGCTAAGTCTACTCTTTGGCATTTTCCTGTCCTGTGTTTTGTACAGGGCTCTTTTGCCAGTTGCATATGAATTATGCCAGGGAACCTGAGAGGAGTTCAGTGGTATTCTCCACGCATTAGCAGAGCAGTCTGCTTGCAGACTTCAGGACATGCAGAGCGCACAGGCTATAGGACATTACTCCCAGAGAGCCTCAAATGACGTATTTTACCATTAGTCCACTGAAATCACGATCTGCTCTTTTGCAGTAGGTATTTAAGATGCACTCTCATAGTAAAGCTTAAATCCATATTCCTGACTGAATGAATGCTTGTAGAATTGCTAGCAATACTCCATTAGTCACACATTAGATTCCCATTTCATAACAGACTGGAAAACCTTGTCTCATCATGTTCTATGCTTCCACTGGAGGGAATGCAAATGCAATAGGTAGAACAGGGAAGCTGCTGTTCTTAGCTTGCCATTATGCAGAGCTAGACAACTTTAAGTTTGCTAATCCTCCCAGCGGATTATTAGCTGCATACAGCTGCCATGTTATTATATGATCGTCAGAGTTCGAACTAATCCCTGTACCTCCTCTTGCCCTGGCAGGGGAGGTGACAAAATTAGTTCGCTACTTGAATAAGTACACTCTGCTCTGACAGGCATGTCAAGTTGCTGTTTATGAGAGTCCAATTCATTGTGCAGCTCCAAGCACCCAGTGCAGGCAGGCGTTCCTCCACCTCCCAGGGAGAAGCAGTGTGCCACATCTGCTGTCTCCTGCTGCCTGAGGCCATCCAGGTCTGGGTGTCTGGCAGCACCCGCTCAAGCTTCTGCGTTCAGAATCAGCATTCTGGTGGAGCTGGCTTTCTGCTGAAGTGGATTAATCTGCAGATATTTGAGCCTTCTCGGCACTCTGTGGAGCTTATGTACAATAGAAGATTTTTCTTTATGAAGAAGTCAAGTGGCAGCTAATGTGAAGAATGTGACAGTCCTTCAGGGCCCAAATAGCTCCCTGATTCAGCAGGGTCACCCTTTCCCTAGACACACTACACCTGGCTGCCTGTTAGTGAACAACTAAATAGCCAAGTTCTCCCCTTAGCCAGGTGAAGGCTCTCACTGAAGTTAAGAGGAAAGATGTTGTGGAGCCCACGCGACACTGAAACAGTAACAGGAAAGCTTTGCTCAAGATGCTTATGGGTACAGGCCTAGGTAAAGGTGAGTTTTGTAAAACGCAAAATATTTCCTTGAAGCTCCTGACGTTGCTTGGGAAATTTTGCCCTGGGAGACCAGGGAATGGATGGCTTTATGTGAAGGGTTAATATCACAACATGAACTGCATTCGTTCCCCAGCTTCCACAGAGCTAATGCTGACCAGAGGAGAAACAGTCATTTGTTACCTTCCTAGATCAACGCTACCCTCAGTCCAGCACTTCACAGCCAGTCGAGCAGCCCTAGTGAAATGCTCCTATTTTGAGCGGCGATTTGTACAAGGACACAGTAGGACTAAGTGTCAAAGCCTGTCATCCCCACAAACAGCCTGGTGCCAGCAATTCCCCAAGTCACTCCATTTAATTACCTTTAAGACAGAGAATCAGTTTCCCTGGAATTTGCACTTAAGTTTCTATGAAACCTAGAAATTTCAGTCCTGTTTAGAAGGTCTGTCTTGGAACTGAGCAGGTATTAACACTCAGAAATGAGCCAGATGTTGGATTATTTAATCATCTCATAAGGGAACAGCCAACTGGTGCTGTGCCCATCCAAGCACCAGGATGAACAAACAGGAGGCAGTCATCCAGACTAATGTGTTTCTTCAGTTACCTCCATATTTCTTAGGCTTAATTTAATTGAGAAGTCTTTTTCCCCAGAGGCCAGTGTGCCAGAGAAGCAGAAACATTTATAAATCTTGATGCAGTATACATCAGAAATGCCTGAGTTCTCCTTGGCATGAGAACTGGGTTCTCACTTCAGCTTCCCTCTTATCCTGACTGTTCTTGCTGCATCCATGCTCTTAAGCAGAGTCTCAACGTTTTGCAATTTCTCTACATGGTGTTCTAGTGAGGAAGTGCTATCTAGCCACACTATAAGTCACATTGACTGCCAAATATCAACGGGTAGTGTTGAAGTGTGACATGACATCAGTTTAAATCAGAATGAGTAAAAGTTGCAATCCTACAGTACCACCTTGTGAAGCAGAGGTGGCGGGGACAGCCACACAGAACCTGCCTCTCCTGCACCCCAGCACCTCCCAGTCTGATAGCTGGGCTGGCTTCATATGGCAGCTCACACTTAAAGCCGTACTGGGCTGTAAATTGCAATGGTTCAGGAGCAAATATGGATGTCATTTATCTGCTCTTGCTGAGAAGGAGAGGAACCAGGTGAACAGCTGGCAGAGGGCAGGGTGACTGCCTTCAGCCATCTCAGCTTAATCTATCACTGTGTGCCAGACTTCAGAGATAGAAGAGTTAATAGACTTGTTCACAAGATTCTTCTAGAACACAGTTCCTCCAGTTTTCACAGGCAGACAGCCTTCTCAATACAGAAGAGAAGTTCACCAAGATAACTGCTGCAGAGATTCCTCCGATATATTCTGCCTATAAGCCCTTCCCGAGTTATTGTGCTTGGAGCTAAGTTTTCCTGCCAGCTTCATGTTAATCTGAGCTGGAGTTGTGATCGGTACTAAAAAA